ACGTATAGCTGCTTGTGATTGGCTGAATAAGACAGCAGGAGAGGATCGTCGTTCTCTCTCTAGCTTGCCAAGTGCCAATCACAAGCAGCTGTACGTATGTATATATGTTCTAAACCGTTTGTTTACATGCAAGAAATGTTGCCTGATTTTGGCTAGAGGGAGCGCAACCTCTGCATCGGCTCGGAGCGAATAAGGGTGAGGAGCCACCTTAACATCGTGTTCACGTAGGGCCTTTATACGTAAATGCGATAAGAGCAAACACTGAGGCCCGGGAGTAATTGAAAATCTAAACCAGCCGCTACTCAGTACTCGGCATTAAAATTAAATAGTATATTACGTACCTAGGCCAGAAAGTGGGGCTATTACTGACCGCGCTATATTATCGGTAATGCGCGGTCAGATGTAGCCCCACTTTTTTTCCTTACACCTCCGCCGAAAGATCGTCACCACGGTTTTAGTTTTGTTAAAAATGAAGGTTCAAAGATCCAGTCAAAGATTTAGTGCATTATGCATTGTTGTTGATCAATCGGTCGCTCGAACAATACCACTTAAATGCACGTAGATGAGTGTACATGTGTATAGGTATATCTACATATATAGCACTTATACGCTACCGATGACTGAGGAAAGGAGAAGGGACCCAACCAGCACAAGCTAACTTTTAGAAATCGTAGATTTGCCGTTCACAAGTTATCTTTACGATTATCAAAAAGGTAAATTGCAGAGAACTATAAGATAAGAAGAACAGTTAGCTTTGTAATGATAACATTAAGCTTTATATTTTAAGATAACTTACGTTATCTGACAAAAGGTAACTTAAAGAAAAAATTTTTAATATAACTTTACGGTAACTGGAAAACAACAACGTACAGTGGTCCTATTTGAAGTTAACTTTAGATATCTGAAAAATGTTTACGTTTAGTAGAATTAGTCAAGTAATTTTCCAGTAAACATGTAAAATGTACCGTAAAGTTATCATATTTCGAAGTCAAAGACGTTACGTTGGCTTTCTTAGTTAAATCATAACCTGCAATATTAGTCCGACCCGCGATAACGCCACGCGCACGTTTTTGTATGTAATTCATCCGTATATTGTTGATAAAAATCAGTTTTTGCCATGAACAATAAGTGCCCCAACAAATTGAGTGGAACGAATTTTGCGAAGTTGATTGTTCGTAAGTTCAATTTTTAATTTTTATTAGATTTTTATGATTTAAATATTAAAGGTTAATTATATACTTTTAGATGTGAGCATAAAACATAATAAATCATTTAGAATGGAAGATGTGAAAAGTATGGGTTATTGACTGCAGAGATCAAGCTTATAAAAAATGCTCAAAAAGCTCTCGAAAAACAAATAGCTAATGCCAATAACAAAGAAGTTGTCGAAAGAGATGCAATCAATGGAGAGAATTCGGTGTAACCTAGATTTCATCAAATCTTATTTCTAGTATTTAAGTATTTACTACTTGATCAGTATTTTTAAAGCTAGTATTCGAAAACGTGATATTACTATATGACATACAAAGTAAGAATATTAAAAATATTTATACGAAAAAGATTGTATTAGAGATACGATAAAAAGTCATATGTTCTTCGAAGTGATTACAAATATCAGATTGTGATTAACGCTGTATTAATTGTGATAAATCTTGTAAAAATATTTTCAATTTTTTTAATTTTATGATAATTATATCATAGAGCAGTGTAGCTTTAACCTAAATAGATTTAATTTTTGTAACTTATCAAGTGTAAGATAGTTATGAGCTGATGCTTATAATTATCTATCATTTTTATAAGTCACAAAAATTAAATCTACTTATATGTATATATAAGAACATTCCTCTAATCTTAAAGTTAGCTTAAAGATATCTAAAAAAGTTAGCTTCTAGCATTAGTTCCATTGACTTCCATAGTAACTATAAGTTACAGTTCAGTTAACTTAAGTTAAAATTTTAACTTTGAAAGCTTAACTTGCAGTTTACTTTAGATGACGTGAAGTTATTCACTTCAGTTATCTCTACGCTGGTATTAAGAGAACCATGCGTTGTCTGTAAGTTTTAGCAGAGTAACTTCCAAGTTAACTGTATCTTGACCATAATCTTACAGAAGTTATCTTCCAGAATTCCTTAAGGTAACTCGGTGCTGGCTGGGGAGGAGGGAGCTCTACGCTCGCCGAGACTGTAGTATATTATATAGAAACAGATTGGGTCGGGGAATTGTGCAGATTGGTCGTGCTGGCAATTTAATTTTGTGTTGTGTACTCTGTTCATATGAAATTAATACATTTATATATACAAGTAAATTGTGCAAAATATATATATATCCAATAATTTATGTAAATAAATATCCAATGATTTTCTGTGTTGTATAAACTATAAAGGTCATAACTCCGTTAGCCGTATTTATATATGTATTGTATAACTACTGCTGCTTCTCGGTGCTGAATATATAACTATATATATCTGCGCACTTCGTTCTGCGCACACATGGCAGGACTGATGAGGCTTTTTCTAGCTCAAAATCGGGTCAGATGGAACGAACTTTCGGCGGAGGTGTAATGAAAAAACCTTATGACTCGTGGGGATTTGAAGTACTTTTGCAATGCTCAAAAAAATTGCCTCATGCAGACATTTGAAACCAGCCGCAAACTAACCCAATGGAAAGAATATAAAAAGTTGGTATGACAAAATGATAGTCGCGGCCAAATTGGAATTACCTGACTTACCAAAACTCTACTGTCAAATAAATCAACGACCCTCGCAAAAATAGAACCAGCCGCAAACGTTTTTTTATAAAATATATTCTCGAAACCAGAGTTGTAGCAATTTTGAGATTATCTAAGAAGGAGGAAATTCATGTTTTTTGCGTCAGAGATTGGGGATGAAAAGCGTCGCGCCCTGAAACGCGCCGTACTTTGGGCATTGGGGCCGTACCATATAACTTTGTGTGTTAAAACAAATAGGCCGATGTACAAAAAAAGTTATATGGTACGACCTCTTAAAATAACCCTCTAAACCAACTATGTGAACATGTCTTAATTAATTATAAAACAAATAAAAAGGCTACTGTTACGTGGCAATCAATCCTTAAAAATAAGACGTTTGAATTTTTGTTTAACCGTTAAAAATCTTTTTTTTACAATATACAACAAATTGTGTAATGTTTATTTTTTATAGTCAATTATTGCATTTGTTTTAATAAAGTTCGACTCACTTCGAGTTTCAAAGCCCATGTCCAAAAAGAATGCCGAAAACATATGGCATTATTTTGTTAGTTATTACTCAGCAGTTCAGTATCCTTCCACAGGACTGACAGGACCCTCATTATGCTGCAGTGACAAGTTATACTTATAGCAGAGAAAAAGGGACACCAAATTGCATGAGTGACAAGTTGGAAGTGCCTGTCCAGGTGCCCTTCGTATAATATCGATCGTCACTCCTATGAAATTATGTGGGCACTTTGCTGTATCTTATTATTTAAGGATTTCGAGAGAATTAAGAGTATAGCCAGTAGGTATCGTTATTTTTTTTCATTTCGAATAAATAGACTGTTATAGGCTTTAGGCGTTGCTATTATCATTTGTTTACTATCACAATGTAATTAAAAAAAAAAAATTGTAAGTGTAAAAACAATAATTTTTTCTTTTATTTTTTTGGATTGCATAAACCTAACATGAATTAGATCAACGTTTGTTTTTGCCTTTTTTTCTTAAAATTTACTACTAAAGGCAAACCATAGAATTTATTGATCAATAAATAAACCTCCGTTAAAATACTTTTAAATGTTAATAATGTATATTGTATTTTTTCAGAAATAGAATAATTATTTAAATTTATGTTTTTGACAGCTTATACCACTTTATTTGTTGCTAATTTCGACAACTTAAAAATAATAAACGAAGAAGAAAATGTCTATGTACACAATATACAATACAAACATAATGATAAATTAATATTATAGATGCAGTAGAAAAAAATTTTATTTTAAAATAATTATTTTTTTCCATGATATACATTCAGCATAACTACAATTTATTTGCCTGTTTTTTTAGGTTAAAGTGCTGTATTTCTTCGCAAAAAAAATTTTTTCATTCGCTACTGTTAGAAAGAAAGTATTTTTTTTTCTTCACATGTTTCCAACTCTCNACAGTAAAATATAAATAAGAAAGGGGACTTATACACATTAAGTCACACTTACAAAAGTTTTTTCAATTATATACGTTACTGACCATATTTATTACTTTTAATAGATTTATCTCAAGAAACTATGTGGATAATATGTGTGATGTGCTAG